AGTACATCGATTTTGAGTAGAATGAAAGGAAATTTACGAGTTTCCTGAGGATAACATGAAAAATTCGATTTTCCTTAACAGAAATTAAAAGGTATTTGTTGCCTTCATTTTTAAGCAAGCCGTGTTCACTAAATGATTAACTAATAGAACTAGGCTGCAGGAAACCAACGGCTTTAATGTTGCACGTGGCTACAGGGTTGAAATCATTTTTTAAGAAAACATCGAGATTTTAACCGATTTTTTCCACACAAGTCCATCGAATATATAAGAACGTACATAGTCACTGGTCCAAAAAACATATTGGCTTGAATGATCCGAAGTGCATTTTGGGGTCGGAAAATATTTCTGTTTAGGAGAATCGAATTTTCCATGTGTTAGTAGTCCCAAGAGCCACTTATAAATTTCCTTTCAATCTACTAAACATCGATGTACTATTCAACCCTCTTGACTTGAATGCGAAAATGGGGAACCTACATCTGTCATTATCTGACGGTCTAAGAGACTATATAGTAGTGATGTGTCGCTCGAAACAGTCTACAAACATGTCCGACAGACTAGTCTGAAAAGTTGACTAGTCCAAATAAACTTTTCAACAGTTAAAATCTGTTGTGCGCAGGAGCGAAATAAAATTAAAACATTTGTATAAATTTCTTAAAAACAAAGGCAAAATATGGTTCAAAAAAGAAGAAACAACAAATAATGACTACTAACTTTTATGTCTTAACGATTTTCTGATTAGTGTTTAAATAAGCTCCAACAGAATGAGTTAAACATCCACTTAAGGTGATTACAGCATCTCATAATTTTCAAACAAGGATATCTCAAAAAGTATTTTTTTTTTTAATTTAAAATTCTGGCCAAATAAATTTGACAATAATATCTAGAATATGCAAATATTTTAAAGTTTTAACTTTTTCCAATTTCCGAGAAAAAAAATTAAATTTTGAAATATCGTAATGGAAATAAATACATTCCTCAAGAGCAATATTCTTAATATAACCCCAAATTTAAGCTCTTAATGTCTTGTTAATGATTTTTTAAAATTCGCCAAAATTAGTGACTAAAACGTAGTGTTTAATAAACATCGATAGTCAGATCTTTTGATAGTATCGATAGTTTTGATAAACACTATCGATAGTATTGATGTACTATCGATATTCTTAAAAGGTATTTGAAAAGAACAAAAAGTAGGTAAACAAGAAACAATGGTATTTCCCCGAAACTAGTATTGTATATTATTCGCCTTGCAGTTAAATCAAATGGAAATGAATGGGAAATAAGAGAAAGTGTTGTCAAGCTTCTAAGCACTTGTCATGGTGTAATTTCAACTGTCTACCTATTACGGATCATGAGATACAGCCCGCTGACAGACAGACGGAGCGCCAAGGCCTAAAAAGGAGATATAACATCACATTTTAGTATAATGAAGTAAATAAACAAAAAAATAACAGCGAATGCAAATCAGTTACAGACTATTTATGTCATGGCTATGTTGATAAATATTAGCGGCAGATAAAATATTTGATTTACAGTGAAATAAAGTTTGTTTACTATTTACCACAAATCGCTATGGTAATGCATGACTATTGACAGTTGGCGATAAAATGTTTCATTTAAAATTATATTTAATGTACCAGTTTTAAAATAATTAGGGCATAAACTAGTCGACAATACAGGAAAATAAAAAGATAAACGAATAGGATTAAAAAAAGTTGTTATAAAATAAATAAAAACAAAAAACCTTTTTATCTGAATCCAATAAACTAAAAAGATAGGCCTGACCATAGAAAAATAAAAAGAGAAGGTTTGAATTAATGGCGAGAATTGTTGCGTTGTTGGTAGTTCAACCGTAAAGGCTTAACGCGCTGCTATCACTAAATTCAAACCCGTTTTACACCCATTAAAAATATGTTTTCAAAAATAATGACAAAGAAATCAATAATTTTACCGATTTATCCCTTTAAATTTCACTTTAATATAATGTGTTATCAAATTCAGAGATAACCGTTGAAAAATGTGAAGTTAAAGCTAAATTTAAATATTATGAGATGGTGTAAATCTGGCTTTGAAAATAAATTAGGTTATGTTGCCATAAATATGTCAGTCTAATATTTTTTTTGGTTTGTCATCGACTTCAACTTCTGTGGTTATATCGCCTCGTGTTCTGTGTAGGCTTTGTTACTGTTTTCCAGCGCCACTTTATAGGAACAGCACTGTTAATTAGAACCCAACAGTGAATGGTCGAGTGGGGAATCCTACTAAGGCATCATTAATTTAAATGAAAAAAAATTTAACTAATTTATAACTATAGTGAGGTTCTTAAGAATGTCATTAACTTCTGATTCATTTAAATTTTAATTGCAGAAGTAAATATTTTTCTCACAAAATTAAAGAAATTTTATATTTTTCTTCCTATTATTATTACTCTTACAGATAAATGGATCAACATATTTTAAATATTTGTGGTCAAAGAAATGAAAGGAGTTGTGAGCGAAATGTGTGAAGCCAATTTATAAACATATTGTATAACCCGAGATAGAACTTCATCATAATACCCAAATATGTTCAAAAACTAATATGATAACATGTTAATTTTTGGATGGTTCGCCTATTAAGGTGTTTTCTATTTTTATTGAAATATTTAAACCTTTTATTACAAAAAAATATGTAAGAATTTAAAAAAGTTAAAACTCGTGTTAATTTTTAATTTTAAGATACACACTGCACCTTTATTTATGTTTTGTTTTAGATATTCCTGGGTATGGAATTTTTTGGAATGTGTATAAATATCTATCTGAATTAGGGTGTGTTTCAAATCCAACCTGTACTGAAGCTGGATGCTTATTGTTCCCGAAATAGGCATTACAACTACTCTAGATTGAAATAGATGGGTAAAGGCCGTAAAGAAATAATAAGTATAAGAATATTAGAATTAGAATTTGTCCTTGGATTAATAAGTCAGTATTAGGGATATTTAAAACGATTGTGTTTATAAATTAATTACTTTGACTTTTTATAAAAACTATATCAGGGTCTTTTAATAACAAAATCATTGTCATGTGCTATGCTGTTATATATATATATATAGTGCTTATGTTATATTCAGAATATGCAGTTAGAAGATAATGAGACACATGTAATTAGATGGTAATTCTAAATAAATTAAACTTGTTAAAAATGTGTTTTATTTTTTACCTAATTTTATTTTTCAGTTAAAACAAGTGACATTTTCTATTTTTCAACATTTACCTACAACAGAAATTCACTTAAGTTAATGTTTATTTAGTAGTTGTAAGTAAAAGTTGTCAAATATGAAAACGTTATTTTAAATTGTTTCAAATATCTAAATTATGAAGCCGGCCACCTTTTAAATCGCTTTACTTAGTAGTGTCCTACTTTATCGACTGAAACCGATAGGTGTAGTTCAACCGTAAGCGCTTAGCGCGCTACTTGTTACCAACTATTTACATGGAATCCGACCCCCGTGGGCCTAACTACATTATAACTCTTTATATCTAGTTTTTTCAAGGTCGACTACTTTTCACAACTTTCCGGACATGTCCGTCAAACCAGTGCAAAATTTTCATGAAAAACATCACTACTGTACAGCGACGTTTGACTTTCATATCCACTCCCCATTTAAAACAAGAAACTGAACGACAATATATAAGAATCAACCTTTAATGTGTTTAATAATTAGAACATAATTGTTCAACTGAATTGCTTATTGTCAAGTAATTTTGTTTTTTTTTTTGCTTGGCAATTGACAGACTATATTGTTAGATTTGAGATAGACATTTCCCTCATATTTCCGGTTTAATAATTTGGTAATTATGTGACAGTGAAAACTATTTTTGTTGTCTTAGAAGATATTATGAAAGATGGAAGAGTAGAATATATTGATTTGTATCACTCATCATTTATGTTAAGCTTCAATACAAATGAAAGTTATAGAAGATATAAAAAGAGGAAGAATCTTGTATCTTTCAAAAGTTTAAAGTATATTAAATTTATACGTCATATATGTATATAAAATATATTTTTTAATTTATTAAAAATTTCGTTATTTTGTATAAATGTGATATTTCAAATATTCTTTTAACAGCTCAAAAAATGTCCTTCAAAGCTCTCTTTAACCAAATTTTGCCTCTCAGATTTAAATTTCTTATGTATAGTAATGAGGTGCGTCGTTAGGCTATTGGCCGTTTTAAAGTATTTATGACACAAATCGCAAGGCAATTGTTGATTAGGCAAATGCACGTCATACATGTGTCTTCGTATGCTGCTCCTTCTCATCCACTTCCCACAAGTGTGACACTTCGCTAGAAAAGTATTAGTAATCTCTAAATACATTTTAATAACTTTAGCTTATACAAGCGCTCTACTTACCATGCAATAACTGCAAATTAAATAAAACGGCACAAAACTCACAAAAAAAAACTTTTGTAAATAAAATAACGGAAATTATAAAAACTAGCTTACATATGCAAATTAAAATTATGTATAGTGTAAATGTGTGTTAATAAAAAGCGGTTATGACTAAAATGCAGTTAATTCTTGATTTTTTACTATGTTCTTTTGGTTTGAAAATTTAGGTAACAGAATTGGAAATGAAAATTAAATATTTTTTTGTTTGCGAATGAATAATGTAAACATTAATTTCTACAATTCTTATTTATTTTTAAATCTCTGTTAACAGCATTAGATAGATAATATTTCTCATTTCCTGTGCTAGCTACTTGAATAGCCCACCGTTTTTAAAAACGAACAGGAAATGAAAATCTCTTGGTTACATCATGATTATTATTTTTGGTCCTGTATCCAATTACGATATATTTCAAATTATTAATCAAAATCATGAGATTTGTTCCAGCTTAAAAGATAATAAAATGAACTCTTCAGTGGTAATTTCTTTTTATGGAATACAAAAACAACGTTTGTACATAAAAAAAAATCAAGAAAAAACATTGCTACATGCATCATATTATAAAATAACTTACCTTGATCTGAAGAATTCAAAAGTTCAGTAGATGTAGTACTAAAATTGGTATCCCATACAGTCTTGATATTAATTGGATCCTTAGTGTCGTCTATTTCAGAATTGGCCTTCATTGAATTGAGTATATTATCATTTACTGACTGCTGATTAGTATTGTTTGTTTCTATTTTTGATTGTACTGGATCATATTCACTTTTCAAAGGTTTAGTTTGAGAGGGATGATTCTCAACCTAAAAGATTTTTTGATGCAAAAATAGAAAGACAATTTACACTGCACAATACATATAGTACAAAGTTCTACCCCATCTGTAGTTTTGATTAAAGATAATTAACATAATAATTACATATAATTAGCTTATCACCAACATAAATTTAAATCCTGGTGTTAGAAGGTAGAGAGACACTATAAGCATCTTTTTTAAACATTCAAAACGGTATCACTGGGCGGGGCTTATGTAGACTAAATATGGCCGATCCGCCAGAACGGGACTATTGGGAATGCAACCCAAACCTACATTTTTTTTTTTAAGAAATGTGAGTGGTAAATAATTGTTTGTTATAAAACGGATGATTAAGGTTATAATAACCGATTTTCAATAATTCCACTTAATAACAAAATAAGTTTCATGGAAAAAAAAATGTGTGGAAGATTTAATAAAAGTTAAAAGGAGAATCCGAAGTTTTATTAACAATCAATGAAGAATATTCATATGTAACTGATCTAACATAAAATAATCAAACAGTTGTTAAATAGGTAGGTATTAATAGAAAATATATAAGGACAAAATAACAAATATAAAAAATATGTTTATATTAACCACTAACCAATACAATTTTATTGTTGTGATTTTGAGTTAAATGAGATCTCAAATCGGCTGATTTTAGAGAAAAAAGTCATTGATGCTTTTTTGTAGAGCAGACATTTCCCATTAAAATTTACTTTTGGCAAGCCGAGAAAATGTGAAATGCGCAAGTTACAAGCAAAAAAGTAAAAAAAGGTCACTTTTTCATTAAAAATCGAGTTTTCTCAAAAACGGCTGCTGGAACCGATTTTAAAACATATATTGCGCCAATCTATAGCCCTTCAGAAATACTTTGACTGAAAAAAAGTTTAGTAAATAACCTTTTCATTTAAAGTTGGTTCCCAAGCACCGTGTCTCATTTAACTCAAAATCGGCCGATTTTAGAGAAAAAAGTCATTGATGCGTTTTTGTAGAGCGGACATTTTCCCATTGAAATTTACTTTTGGCAAGCCGGGAAAATGTGAAATGCACAAGTTACAAGCAAAAAAGTAAAAAAAGGTCACTTTTTCATGAAAAATCGAGTTTTCTTAAAAACGGCTGCTGGAACCGATTTTAAAAAATATATTGCGCCAATCTATAGTCCTTAAGAAATACTTTGACCGAAAAAAAGTCTAGTAAATAAACTTTTCATTTAAAGTTGGTTCCCAAGCACCGTGCTTTGCTATCACATTTTTTAATTTTATTTTTAAATTGCTATCACATTTTTTAATATTATTTTTAATGAGGTAAAATATCATAATGTCTATATGGTCTTGAGACATTAGGAACATTGGTAAAAAATGTAAATGTGTTTAAAATTAAAACATGTATTTTCAAGGCACTAATATACTGATCCATGTCATTTAACCTTAACCCTTTCAGTATCGGAACCAGTTAAACATGCAAAAAAATAAAATGGTTCTGTAAGACCGAAGTCATATACAGGTTGTTTATTAATTAAGTGCTAATACTTAAGGGTGTGAATCCTTGGGTGATTTTAAGAAGAAAAGTTAATATCAATATATGTCGTAAACCTCTTAATTTTTGAGCTACAGGCTGTTACAGTTTAAAAAAGAAATAACTTTTATCATAATTTTCTTATCACTCCAGATATTTTTCTGAAATTTTGTAACACCTTTTAATCCTTAAGGAGCATTTTTTGATGTATTTTTTTTTTTCAATTTCTACCAGTGACATCCGTACGGGGTTTGAATTAAATATTTTTGAAGAAAAAAATGGTATGCCACTGCTTATTACTATTATCTTTGAGGTTATGTGTACTTCAAATTATAGTTTATTTTGTTTTTTGTTTCAGAGTCTACAGAATATACCCAAGAATATATACAGAATATGCCCAATTATGCACTGAACAAATTTTTTTGTTTCCAACAAAAGACAAAGGAAGTTTTAAAAAAGTATGACAATTTTATTATATATTTTATTTAGGGCCATTTTTTTCACCAAGGTGAAAGTTACTACTTGCTGATTAAACTATAGGGCCATTGTTTGTTAATATGTCAAGTAAACTTACATGTAGCTTTACTCAGAGGTGAAAAGATCGACCCTTAAACAAGGATAATTTCTTGACTGTAATACACTTTTATATGAATAATTGTTTATTTTGTAGGTTGTCCCTTGAAATAATAGAAAAATTCCCTATCTATAAATGCCAGAGGTACTGATAAACACTGTCAGACTTACATTTCAGTTTTTTTAAAGAAGATATAAAATATAAATATTACACTGGCCTAAATTAATTATATCAGGAAGATTAAATTAAATATTTACCGATATCTACCTGGGAGGTAAACTATGTAGACGTAGTGCAGTGTTGTAAAGGTTATATTTTTAAAATCGGCTCATCGAGACCTTTTCAGTGGTATTCTATACCATGTATAGTGATGTCACAATATAAGTTGATTTAAAAAAAAAGATAATGCTATGTTCAATGTTTAATAAACTTACAAGTTAAACGTTAAACAACACTATTTAACTCTCACTTTAGTCGTACTATTTATAGAGGCATGTTGGAGGTAAAAGACACTAAGAATTTCATAAAAAAATTGTTAACAGAACATAGAAATGTTACAAAAACCAACAATTCATGTATGTTAAAAAAAAGTTTTAAATTCTAATAGACACCAAATTTTTTGGAATTTGCATCGATCAGAAATTAAAATTTGAACCACAAATCAATTGATTATGTAATAAGTTAGCTTCTGGATGCTATGCAATAAGAAACTTTGAAATAGCTAAAGGTGTTTATTATTCACTAGTAGACTAACATGTATTTGGGAATCCTGCAAATAGGAACTATTTAAAAGTGGTTTCGTGTTACAAAAAAGGGCTCTTAGATTTATGTGCAACGTCAACTTGGATGTTTCATGTAATCATTTCTTTTTAAAGCATACAATTTTAACTTTAATCAGCATTTATAGGGTCGCCACTATCTCCGCTCCTTTAAAACATATATTGCTTTAATTTTCCTTTAGGTCAGTTACACCTCAATGCAATAAATTACACACTCCAATACGCAGATGACACGGCCTTGATATCGCATGGAAATACGCTGAATCAAACCATCACAGCACTAAAAAATCAATATAACGAAGTTGTTCAATGGCTCAATAAAAGGAGATTACAAGTTAACCCACAAAAATGTCAATTAATGATACCCTATCATGATCTAAGACCGACATCACCTACACTCATCATATCTAACCAACCAATCTATCCCGTATCCTCAGTGAAATACCTAGGCCTTATTATTGATAATAAGCTGAACTTCAATGAACACACCCACAGACAAAAAAAAAATCAAAACCAGAGGCAAACATTTCCGCTCTTTAAAATACAAAAAAGAAGGTATCAACATCTACACAGCCACTAAAATCTACAAAACAATTTGCAGACGTCTCCTGGAATACGGTTACACTATATATTTAAACTGCCGAAAACCTGCATTAAAAAACATTGAGGTGGCCGAAACTTCTATACTAAGAATCATTACCAAGATGCGACATCCTGAAAATCCCACTCACCATCCAGCGAATGAATATCTTTACGAAAAAACTAAGATTCAGCCTATCCTGGAAAGAATTAGAAAACTATCAAAACATTTCTCGAAGAAGCGAAACAATCACATGCTAATAAACATTTTTTCGATGCAACGACAAATTGGTCAAGCAAAGTTTAAATATCCAGTGAGATCAATAACAGAAATCTTAAACGAATTTGCCGATGAACAATAATTAGTGACACATATTGTTTTTTTTTAAGTATCTTAATATTCGTATTCATCTTACACATATAGCTTGTAAATCCTCATACATACTATACAAATTATACTGGCTGAAGGACCTAGGTCGATGGCCATTTGGTTGTAATATTCATAACCAATAAAGTGCTTTTTATTATTATTATTATTCAGCATTTATATTATTAAAACGTCAGTGATCGTGCACAAAAAAATATAAAACTCTTAATCAGCGCAAACTCTTATCATGACACAAGACGTACTTATTGTATTCTACTACCACACAGTCTATTTTATTTAACAGTAAAAAAAATCAAGCATCTACCCTTAAGTCTAAAAAGGATTGACGGGAAGTAAAAAATCTTGTTATAGGAAAAGCATATTGCTTGTTTGGGGAGTTTTTTGAGAATGAACATTACTGAAATTAATCAATTAATAAAATATGACTATGTTGTGACTATTATTAGTAATCGTTTTTGTTTTATTTTATTTACGTTTTATTTTATGTATGTATTACAACTGTACTCTTAAGTTTTTATCTATATTATCTATTTCTTGTATCTTTTAAACTGTACATTTTATATTATTTACTTTTTTATGTTACTTGCTTTGTCAATGAGATGTAATGTAATGAAGTCATTTTTCATTACTGTTTTTCTTATTCAATTGCCGAATTAGTATTCTTAATAATGATTTTAAATCTAACTTTCATTAGAATCCGGCATATCAATTTAATAAAATTAATTATTCGTTACTATTTTAATTTATAAGTCAACTTTTTGGCTTCACCCTGTATCTATTATTTTGAAATATACAGGGTGTCTGTAAAAGGTCTTTACAAAAACATACCACATATTCCTTAGACCAAAATAAGTCGATTTAAGGAAAATTACCTTAGTACAAAGTTGCTTCGTTTGAGCTCCAGAGGGCCTTCAAGTTACAATTTTTAAATCGTTTTTCCCATATAAATTTAAAACGGCATATGCGATTTTGCTGAAATTTGGTATATTGGTAGAGTTTTATGTGGCAAAAAAAATGGTATTAAAATTTTGTCCGATAATAATACATAGGCGTAGAACTTGATTTTTTAAATAATTGCACCTTTAAAAATTCTACGCCAATGGAAGAAAAGGAGTTTGAGTATAAAATTTAGATTGCGCAACTCATTTACTTTAAAAAAGGTACTCTTGAT